CCCCCCCCCCCCCCCCCCCCCCCCCCATCCAAAGAGAACGCCCAACCCAACCAATACCAAAGCTTGCTTCCCAACTCCTTTGTATCCATGATGTGATGTGATGTGTGACCCGGAATCGGAAAAAAAAAAGGGAAAATCGTGACGAGATTAAAGAACAGATCCCACACACACAAGTCCCAGCATAGCACGCCGTGTGGTAGCTGTGCTGTATATGTAGTAGGTTCAAATTCCACGCCTTCCCCCTTTCATGAAAACCCTCGTACCAGATTCAGTCCATCAGATGGCTCAAACCATCCCAAGAATAGACAGCCCGCGCCATTCGTAAGTTTATGTCATGATTGTTTGAATCATTATCGTCGCTGCTGTTGAAAAAAATAGAGAGAAAAGGATGTCCAGAGCTAGCGCTGCAGCCTGAGCAACCATGTTTTACTTATACCATTTACCACATGCACGCAAGTTTCATTTGCGAAGCAGACAATAGATGGTCAGCAGAAAACCGGAGTAGACGGAGAGAGAAGAGCCTGATGGAAGAGTGAATGCCTGTGGATGATGAACAGTATGGGCTCGCCTGTTGTTGTCGGTAATGAATGTGAAATTTGCCGCCTGGGGAAATGAAGAGCATGGCTCGTAACTCGCTATCTAAGCAGCACATAAAACGAGCCTGTCTTTTCAGAAGGAGTGTAATGTGGATCAAAGAGGATGCGTCCATATCCATGCCAGTGTGTTGGCCCAGTCAAGTCAAATATGACTCTCTGCGCTTCTCGTTCCAGAGAAGCTTTCGATTGCGATGCAGCTGCTCAGAGGCAGCATTGGTGTAGAATGCGATCTGCGAAATCGCTTCCTGTTGTGTCTGGTGCTTGTTGATGTGAGTTGTTCGAACGGTATCAAAAGAAAGAGTATGAGAAGAAACAATGCTGAGGTTACACCATCCGCCATTATACCATTTACATGGTAAACAACATGGTGATGGAGTGAACAAAATGCAGCTGTATGGGAAAAAAATAAGCCGAAAACGTAGTGTCTCAGTGACCGCTGGTAAATGCGCCGAATGAGAACCGGAGACGATGCCGCGATGATAGAAAACGAAGGATGAAAAGGAAGATGAGAAGTGAGTCTGATAGCTCAACGACTCGAGCAGTGACGAGATCTTGTAGCAGATGCAACTACAAGTGAAATGCAAGTATGCAGATCCGGTGTCGAAAAAACCGGTAGCGACAAGCGTTCAACGCTTCCTTGTCATTATTGACAAGAATTCCCAAAAGCCCAGTCAAATTTCCAGACTCCTTTACTGCGACTTTGCCCACAACGACTCAACGGTGAGGTCCAAAAGCTCTTCACAGAAGTCGTCAAGCTCGATGATTCTAAATCGAGAACCCCATCTGGAGGTGAACTCCGGGTCCCGCCAATCTTTCGCAATGTTGTTTTTCCAGCCGTAAAGCTCGATCTTCCAGCCACGAGCTAGTGCCCGCTCGGTGTTCTTCTTGAAACCGTCCGAATACTCGGCGCACGCCGCATCACCTGTAGCGAGAACCATGGTACCGGGATTCGGAACGTCCAGAGCGCTCTGTAGAATCTTCAGGTGGAGTAATTCATCAACGCACTGTTCACTGCGCGTTTCAGGGCCCTCTCCTGAACCTTCAGAGCGGCGACCATACTTCTTAGATTTCTTGCTCAGATCCAGAGAAGACGGCTTCGTAACACGTGAGAGAATGCACATCTCGTATTTGAGCCCCGCGGCTTCCGTCATGTAGTCTGGACGCCTGTAGCTGTGATTACTCACAGAACCTGCAACGACCCTCTTCTCAACCTTTCGGCCACGAGTGAGGATGGTATCAAAGTTCTTGAACGAGAATGGCACCTTAAGCCGCTTCTGTGGCGAAAAGCCACGGCTCTTCTTCATGGTGTCGTAGAAGCCAATGACGATGTTGGACAGATCGACAAAGATATGGACGGTCTTGGATCGGACTGCGTTTGTTCCAGACGCATGTTCCTTTTGGACCTCCTTATCTTTGGCCCTCAGACCCAAGAGCTTGTCGAACAGAAGACGAGCCTTGTCTTCCTTGGTTGTCCAGTAAGCCGGATGAATGTCAACAGTGCCGAGGAGAGGATGTTTCACCTCGTAACAAGTGATGCTACTGTACGGCTGAGACTTGGCCATCTGGCACTGATTCTGTGGGCGTTGAGCTATGGTATCAACCGCTGCCTCAGCTGACCCCTTGGGTTGTCTGATTGCGGTCCTCGGACTATCGGTGCGATTTTCTTCGAGCTTGGCAACGATGGGAGTGGAAAGCGATGCCCATGGGAAGGTGTAGTTGGCCGTCACGTGGCCATTACCGACAGGCCCATAATAGACGTTGTTCGCGTAGATGATTGGATAAGGGTTGGCAAGCTGTGCCGGGTTACCAGGACCAGACAAGTGCTGCGTTCCGCTGAAGGGCCCGTTAAAATTTACGTATGTAAATCCAGCCGTGTTTCCCATGACTGGTAGAGGTGCAGAATTGGGTGTGTTGACCGCAGCCAGCGGGATAGGTGATGCAGTGTTCCCGCCGATATCCATAGCTTTGGTTTCAGATCTCGGCTGTGGTCTCTTCAAGATGGTTATTGCCGGTTTCGGGAGAAGCGTGGGTGAAGGGGTGGAGTGGGAGGATCGCGGGCTCGCCGATAGAAAAGAGCGGGCGGAGCGGGCGGAAGTGTCACTGCCATGTGTAGGGCTCGTCGTAGGAGTGGGAAATCCTTGGTCTTTGACAGTTGCTGTCGCTCGTGGATCGATCTTGAGATCCTTCTTGCGCGACTTCGTGCTCGCAGAAGCGTGGTTGGATTCCTTGATCGCCTGAATCATGGCAGCCTCAATGTCATCGGCACTCATCGGGCATCTCGCAGTTTTCTCAGACTGCTTGGTGGCCTTGGGAGATGGAGCGCTCCCACGCTGATCGGCCCGTTTTTGTTCCCTCCACTTCCGTTTGAGATCATGGCCGACTCTCTCAATGTAATCGTTAGCGGCCTGCTGGGCGTATGCGTCCGCAATCTTGGTGTCGCAACCGGCGCTTGAAGCCTTGTTACGGACAGCCCAGTATCTGCGGGCGGCTTCGGGTTCAGAGTCATCCACAAGCTTGCTCACTTCATTCTGCATGCGTACGAGCTTGGCGTAGTTAGGATGGGACATCATGGCCACTACTTCAGGATCGGCCGTCTTCTGGAAATCGTCCCAGTTGGTAGGCTCCAAAACCGTCGAGTAGGGGATAGCCTCGAGTTTGGCAGTCATGTCGGGCTGCTCGCAGATGCGGAACTCGCACTTTGTCTTGGAGAACAAAGTTTCTTGATCTGCTAGCGAGAGTCGAGCGACGGGAACTGCGTGAGCAGAAATACGCTGAGTATATGATTCTCCCCATTTGCCGATCAGAGAAAGATCGGAGCCGAGCCGTCGGCCCTCAGGCTCGTTGCGGCCAAAGAACGAAGTCGCCATGATTGGCTGAGACCCAGTTTGGCTGATGTGGCGCGGTGAGACGCGAATTATTGTTGAAATGCTGGAAGATATGGTAAGGATAGCCTTTGGTGGACTGACGACGCGAGCACACCCAAAGAGGAAACTGAATGATGAGGTCGAATGGGTAGGGCCAGATGACCCGGCTTCTTGTCGGGGGGGTTATCCGGCGGATCGGTGGACAACTAGACAAATCACGGTGGTCGGTCGGGCTCTGTTCTAAAGCAGAGAAAGGTGATCGAGGGTAGGAGAAGGATGCTGAAGAACAAAAAGCATTGTAAAGGCACCGCCCATGCTATCAGGAAAAGAGAGTGCGTGCGACCTAGGTGTCTACCTAATGAACACCAGCAATGCAGCGCATAAGAAACAAGGAGGAAAGCAGTCGGTAGTGAGGCTGGAAGTCTGTATTTGTATAGTTGTGAGTCCCAGACTTGGATTCCAAAAGAGTCGACGCGCGCGCGACTGGAAAAGGTGAGATGAAGTTGAGAAAGGACGACGACAGGAAGGCGAGAGCAGCTGCAGTGGTGGGTGCGGGCGCAGGCTCGATTGACGGTACGTAATGCAAGATGGGAAAGACACCAGTGAGGCAAGCCGCGGCGTGCGTGGCGTAGCGTGCGTGAGTGAGTGAGTGACAAAAGGACGAATGCTTGCTTGCAGTGCTTGACTTGCTTGCCGAAAGATATCTGAGATTGTGTGAGTTTTCAGTCACCAGAAATTCGATGGGGATTGGGAAGTTCGCTTCAGGAAGACTGACTCGGTTGAAGACTCGTTCTCCAAATATCCCGGGGCGGCAAAGATGGTGCAGTAAGGAGGGGAATGGAAGAGGGGGGGCAAATTATTGGTGGTGACTCTTGAGTTAGGTCCCGTCGGTGATACAGTGGCAGTGAATGAGTGGGTGGACCCCCAACAGCAAGAGGCCCAGCCGGCCGGGGATCGGGCCAGACGGAAGCTGGCTCCGGCACCAGCTGGCAGACGTGTGAGCTCTTGGCCGTTTGCTTCCAAAGCGGACCGTCGAGGTTGATGACGAGAGTGTCTGGCCAACTGATTGGAAGATAGTTCTCTCGATCCATTGCACCCTTTTTCAAGCCCAAGCTCGCTGCAGGCCGCAGAGCCTCAAAAGCCCCTGTAGTGTAGACACTCGCACGTTGACAGGTATATACGCAGTACATCCAAAAGCTGAACATGGTCGGCCTCGGTCCAAGTGTCATGATTCAATTGTTATAATTCCCTGTGAACCCAGATCTGCTTGCCAAGGGAACCTTTGCCCCTCAGAAGAATTCAACTTCATTATGGCCTCCCGCGGAGTCGGCAGAAGGGGTCCATTGCACTATAAATCGCTGTCTAGGCTGTCTCACAAGCTACCCTGTCCCAGGCACACGCAGTACTTACATAGTACAGTACACAGTAAGATCGCCCCAACGATACTGGGCATGACTGGATCAGATCGCTGAGACTGGATACCTACATACGGGGAGTGCTAAGTACACTATACTACCGTAACCGGGCAATCTGTAACTAATCAAGCTGTCAAGGTTTATCTAGGAGGAACCTTTAATGGTCATTCACGACGCTTTTGTTTTGCTGCTTGGATTGATTTATCCTTATCAGCTTGATCAAGGTTCGAAAGGGCCCCGCTGTGTCCTGATTACCTACCTATGCTGCCTTGTTAATCGTTGGGAGACAATGCAGTAACTCGGCAAACATCAACATCCTCATTGACACTGGGGAAAATACCTATGCTTTTTGGTGATACTCCATAGTGAAAAACTTGTTTCAAACAGCCCATCACCCGGCCCAACTTTGCCCCTTTTGAACGAAAACACCGTGTGATGTGTCAACCTTCGGAACTTGAAGATAGAAAGCCGACAAAGATCCATCAGCTAGTTTGGAAATTGGAATTAACGATATACTCCCCAGCATATTCAGCAGCTCTAACCAGGCAACTCCCTCTGCCAAACATCCGAGTTCCGTATATTCTTTTTGATTCCCAACAGAAAACAACATGCAGAACAGTGGCTAAAAATGAAACCATGTGATGGCCAAGATATCCTCTACTGAGTAGTACTGACAGAGGAGACTTCAGGGCTAACCCAAGTAGACGGCGCCGTCCCAACCAAAAACCCATCCATCTTGAACGCTTCCAGTACGGCAAACCTACTCCGTTCCTTTGCTACAAGTGACCTCAACCTCAACTTGGCTTGGGATTCAAAGGTTTCTAAGCCTTCAACCCCGTCGCCTTGACGCTCGTCAAACCCTTTGCATCGGCCAGAAAAGCCTCCTCCAACTGTTTCCTTTCCTCCTCCGTAACCAAGCCCTTCTTGATCTGATCTTCAAGCCACCACCTTAAACTCTTCTTCCTAATCTCCGCCTCCGTTAGCCCCTTGTTCTCCTCCTTACTTTGCCTCATCATCTCTTCCCACTCGTCTCTGCCCCCTAGCAATTCCTCCAAATGCCTCGTCCCCTTCTGCATCTGCTCGCACCACTGCAGGATGCCCTCCTCCAGCAGACTCAGTGCCTTTTTGTGCTCATTCCCCTCGCCATTCGCCTTTGCCTCGGCGGTTTTGGCAGCTTTGCGCTTGTTTGCCTCTTCCTGCAGCGCCTCATCCCGTTCCTTCCTCTTGCGCCTCCGCTCCTCCTTGCGAGCTTTGATGCTCTCCCAGTGAACACTGTGACCCAATCCAGCGTACTGCTCCGCCACGCCACCATTGCGAACAGAAGCTCGGTTAAGGGGCGGCGCGGTGAAAAAGAGGACACGTCCTTGGTCGTCCGTCTGAAATTGCTTCTTCACCTCCTCCGGGATCTCACTGTCGATGTTCTCGGCAAGGGTGTAGACCTCGGGGGCACGCGGCGCGTTGTACGCATTACCAGCGGCCGGACCTGGGGCGAGCTGCTGTGGCATGGTTGGCGGGTGCTGCTGCATGGGAGTTCCCATCGGAGGTGGCTGGTGGTGCCTGTTGGGCGTGGGGAAGTTGGGCGCTATTGGCGACGGCTGCGGATGAGAATGGGAGTGATGCACTGCCGGCAAGCCTATGGGTACACCAGGGTGGTGCGGTGGGCCGACTCCAAAGGGCTGTTGTTGTGGTGGTGGTGGTGGTGGCGGCGGGTGCGCGTGCACCGGCCTGGAATGTGGGTGATGGGGGTCGTACTGGGGCCCGGGAGGCGGCGCCGGAGCGAGCTGGCTTTGTGTGGTCGGGGGGCCGTGGTGAATGTATTGAATTTGCTGGTAGGGCTGGTGAAGTTGTTGTTGTTGAAGATGTTGTTGCTGCTGCTGCTGCGGCGGCGGCGGCGGCGGCTGGTGTGGAGGCTGAGGAATTGGGACGTGTTGTGGCCCGGGACCGTGGTACGGAGGAGGTTGTTGGTGCGAGTAAGAAGGAGGCTGCTGATGTGGGTAATGATGGGGGCTTGGCTGCATCGGGGGCATCCCGGGATGATGGGGCTGCACGTGCATGGGCATGCCGGGCATTGGCTGGTGCTGGTGCTGGGGTCCTAGTGGCTGCTGATGGAGACCCTGATGGGGATGTGGTTGCAGCTGCGGTTGATACTGATGGATCGGCGGCGGCGGGTGCGACTGCGGATGACCGTGAATCTGGACGATGTGAGGAGCGATGCCGTGACCCTGGGGTGGCGGCGGCTGCTGCTGCTGCTGCTGCTGCTGTTGCCGTGGTGCGAAATGCTGCACGTAGTGTTGACCTCCAAACGCGACGTGTCCACCAGGTCCAGGCGCGGGAGCGACAGATGGATGGAATGTTGGTGTTCCTGGAACACCACCAGAGAAGGACTGACGGTGCGATGATCCGGAGCCAGGACCAGGACCAATAGCCAGCGGCACAGGCGCGATAAATATTGGGTGAGCTTCTGGCGGAGGCGACTCCTTGTTCGAAAGATCTGTCGTCAGCTTACTACTTCACACGCCTCTTTTCCAACGCTAGTTTCTTTCTAGTCTGTCCCACACTGAGGTAGAGGAGGAGCAGGGAGGTGTGACAAGCTTTTGTCTAATGCAAAGAAGGTTTGACGGAAGTGCGCAGGGAGACTTGTGTGTGCCGAGAATCGATGGCGCGGCAAGAGGCAATGGGAACGAGAAAAAAAATTGACAAGGATGAGTGAAAGAGAACTGAAAGAGGGCAACCCAGTTCAAGGGATAGTAGAGGAAGTGGCAGGAGGGGAGAAAAGTGAGACTCAAACAATGTTGAAAGAGGGGGGAAAAAAAGAAGAAGAAAAAAAAAAAAAAAAAAAAAAACCTGTACAAGGGAGGAGGCACTGACAGGTTGACTCTGGCACTAGCCTCGGTCTCAAACGGAAACGAAACGAGGGATGACCCGGGCGTGGGAGAGCGGGATAGGTCGAGTCGTGAAGAGTGAGGCTGCGAACGAGGAGTGAAATCAAACACAAAGGACGGGATGACAGAACCAGGAAGAAGCACCGAGGAAAAGGTGAATGGGATGGATGAATGTGGGGTTGGGAAAATTCTCAAAAGCACGCATTGAGAGCCACTTTGTTTGCTCTCCTGCTCCTCTCTGGAGGGAGCAGCTCCTATGGGCCTGGCAACCACCTCGCAACAGAAAATAATTCAGAGAATGACGCTCAAGGAAATCAGCTTCGCTTACATTGGGCTCGCGAGGGCGACGATGGACCGCCCCAATGAGGGGAGGCGCATTCGGGCTCCTCCACGTCGGTTTCGGCAAGTCGTCCGTCTCTTTGGCGTCGGCTTGCAGCAGATGCTTGATGGGACTGGGGATCTTCCTCATGGTGCGCGGCACGGGCCAGAGATCCATCTCATAGTCCTGGTCGCGAACCTCTTCGGGCAGACAGCTGGACCACGTCTTAACCTTGTTGAACTTGCATTTCTCTTCGTTGTACCGTGCCTCGCAGACGTACACCATTTTGTTATATGGCAATCCGCGAGGGCGGCCCTTGGGGTAGCGGGTAATGAACATCACGAAGCATCGGTCCTCAACTTCTTCGATCCGGTGGTCGCGATACTGGCCTGTCTTGACCACCTCGTTCTCGTAAAAGAACTTGTCATAGCGATGGACCGTCTGTTCTGGGCGATAGAACCAGCAGGCATTCACCCACTTCTGGCCAGACTTGTCCGACCACATGCGGTAGATCTGCGCGACTATGGGCTTGGAAAGATCGTTAGGGTTACGGATGTGAACCCAATCACCTATAGTCACAGTCAGTCATCTGAACTCAACATGGTTGGCGTTGGCGCTTTTCCTTGGGGCCCGGATGCATAAACACATACCCACTCGCCACAGCTCGCCTCCGTGCTCAATGCTGTCCAAGGGCAGCTTTCCATCTGCGTCGCGAAAGTCATCGTCGGGCTTGGCCTTTTCCTGCTCCGTGAGGGCGCGTGCCTCTTTTTGTAGTTCAAGCGCATCTTCATACTCTTCACTCCCCTGTTCGTGGAAGAGCTTCGCATTCTCAAACATGAGTTCCAGGTCCTGGAGGACTTGGTCGAGATTTTGGTACTTTTTACGCTTGTGCTTCCTGATGATCATATCCAACGCAATCGGGTTGCGCACGGCGGCGTAGTAGCCCGGGCTTTCTGACTTGTCAGGGAGCCTCTGAAAGTGATTGATGCGCACATGGCCATTTTCGTTTTTGAATTTCCGCAGCCCCTTGAGTAGGGCCTGTATCCTGGCCTCTTGCGGCGTGAGGACCTTGAGGGGTCTCGTGTGCTTCTTTTGGGCCTCATCATCGTCGTCATCTTGTTTCCTTCTTCGAGACCGGCCACCGCGTCTCCGTCCACGCCGGCGCCGCCCATCCGAGTCGACAGCATCCGAGTCATCCGATTCTGATTCCTCCTCCTCCTCTTCCTCCTCTTCCTCATCCTCTTCCTCTTCGGGGGTTGGCGAATCTTCAAACTCGGGTAACGGACCGTAGTCGGGGATCTCGGCGTCTTTTTCGGTAATGTCCCCCTTCTGGACGAGTTCGGCAAGCTTTTCTTTGAAAACCTCGAGCAACCGACCGGCATCGGAGAAGATCGGGGCGGAGGGTCTATTGTATACTTGTGCGTTATGGCATATGCGCGTCACGTCTTGAACGAATTCGTTGAAGCTTGTGTAGCTCTTTTTGCCCAGCTTGCCCTGCAGTATTGCGAAGAAACATGGTCAGCTCTGGCTTCATGAGTGCAGGGCAGCAAAACATGTCAACCTACCCTGATGGTGCTGAAGGCCATGGGGGTCTTGATAACCTCAAAGTAATCGGGAAGACTCCGCTTGTTGACTAACCTCTGGAAGCCAGAGGCAATCTCGTAGTCCCTACAGACAAGATGGTTAGCGTGCCGACAGGTTCGCGAGGCACAGCATGAGTACCTGAGCGCAGGGGGCAGAGGGTGACTGACTCTCCATCCACCTTGACGGTGTACCGACACAGGTACTCGGACGTGTCTCTGATTAGCTGTAAGAGATCCTTGGCAGAATCACTCTCTTCTTCGTCTTCTTCGTCCTGATCGTGGTCCTCGTCCTCGTCGTCTTCTCGGTCATCGGCCATGTCCGCCTCTTGGTCTTTGTCGGTGGGTTTGCGTGGCTCGTCGTCTTTCGCATCGGCATCCTCCATGTCTACATCGTCATCGACGTCGCCCTTGGCCTCGATGGACTCGCGTACCTCGATCGCGTCACGGGCCGGGGCAGCTGCCATAATATTGCTGTTGGTGTTGCTGGACTGTCGTCGCGTGGTTCTGGGGGTGGTTCTGGCGGTTGTCCTGGTCGGGGCAGCAGCTGAAGAAGTGGTGTTCCTCTTGGCGAGGGAGGAGTCGCCTCTGCTGGGGCGCTCGCGCAAAGTGGGCATCGCGGCTACGCAAGCTAGTGTAGGTACGCAAGCTACGGGGATGTGGTAACGGGAGGGCAGATTGTAGTGTAGAGAGCTGGGACGGTAGCGCAAGGGTGGACTCCTAGACTCCTCTCCCCGGTCGGTTTGTCTGTGTTTCTCCAAGGTGTTTCCGCCAGACAAACCAAACACGCAGCGGCAGCAGCAGCAGCAGGTGCCTCTCCCTCACACATCCACAGTTCTCCACGCGCAGTCCAGAACACAGACACAGACACAGGTTCAGACGCCCGCTGCTGGAGCCAAGCCACACCCTATGTCTAAGGTAGCAGTAGTAGTAGAATAAGTAGTTGGTTGGCGTGTTGGCTCTGTTGTTCTTGGTGGGTGTTGATTGGGGTACCGTTGCCGGGGCCGCGAGTCAGTCTGTGTGCGTCGATGGCAGAAAGAGGACGACGATCTCCTAAAAGATGCCCACCAAGGATACCTCGTGTAGAAAGTAGTGTAGTGTAGTGTAGTGATGGCTAGCTCTTCCTGGGGAAACACGCGAAACCAAGACGAGGGTCCAATTGGTGTCGATTGCTGCATTGGCAGTGACTGGTTGGGTCGCTTGTCCGTCGCCTCCAGCACTTCAGTTCCCTTGGGAGTCCACCTTAAGCGCACCTTAACGTCTTAAACGTGCTATTAGACGCGCCAAACCCTCGCTAGTTGCTTAGGCTAGGTAGGTTGACAGTAACGGGTTCAGTTGATCGCCTGCCACGAATGCATGACCCCTGACCATCTGTTACAGTATGTACTTAGCTAAGGTTCCATGCTGTGTGGGTTGGACCGTGCGTGATTGCCGGAAGGGCCGATCCACTGCGGCCCCGAGCCCCGCGACGGGTGAGCCCCGGTGGGCAGAGCAGCTGCTTAGCGCCTTGCTCAACGGGCGGGGCTTAAAGGCCTGGACTGCCTGTTACATTACATTACATGTTGAAGAGACTACCTAGGCCTCTATACGTAGGTAGGTAGAGGTAGGTACACGAGACAGATACATTAGGGCTCCTCTGTCTCTGAGGATGTTACTGTATAAAGGTAGTAACTAGAGGTATACTACGTACGTGTGTTATCCGTTGTACATTCCAGATTGTCTTGACATAACATGGCAGTCCGAAAAAGAGAAACCGGACCGCGTGGTGTTTCTGTTGTGCCATACACTACAGGTCAAAGTGTCACGTACCTCTACGGGCATGGGCGCTAATGATGTCGCCAACCCACAGTGACGTTTCACGCCCCGTTCGTTGTGGGAATCCTCCCCCCGTCAGCTTGAACGGTTCCCGCATTGTACATCTAGGTAACCCCCTTATTGATACACTACTAGTACCGTAAGCTGTAAGAATGACACCTCATCAACAACATCAATCTTGTCACCTGGACTCTATCAAACTAATTGTTGGACGAACCAACCACCTGGGCAGTTTGAGTTTGCAGCTTGCTCTCGTCCCATCTTGGTTGACATCGTGACATACATACTTCGATCTGGCCGCGCTTGTTCCGCTTGTACCTTGACCCCTGGTTTGTCCACCTCCTCCACTTGACTACTAAAAGACCCATAACCTTTCTCTTGGAAAGGTACACCTTGAGTCTTGGGAAACCGTAGTTACAAGGAAGAGCTTACCATCCATCCTAACTTGCGCAGACAGAGCACCACACCGCCGGTACAGCCCTCCTTCCGTTCACTTCGGCGCATAAAGGTACCATATCATTCAAACCAGGACAAGAATCCGTCTGAAGCTCTTATATACCCACCAAATGCACTCTGCACTTGCGTCTCCCTAGTTGGCCAGCTTTGAATATAACTCTCGACTTTCACCCAAACCTAGATAAATCATCCACCATATCATCCAATCTCACGGCGAAGCTCTATCCAGGACATTGACCGTATCACCTATCCTCAAAGTATACTGTTGTCAACACTAGCACACCATCACCAACGCTAAGCGAGACCAATGCCGCAAATTCAGTTACGCCTCAGGACCCCCAGCGGCCAAACCCGCCTCGAAGTCGACGACGAGTCCATCTTGGAAGACCTGGTGGTACAGATAAGGACGGCCACCAAGATCGACAAGTTCTCGTTGAAATATGGCTACCCCCTAAAAGATCTCGATATCAGCGATGAAGCGCAGAAAGTCACCCCGCTCAAGGACCTCAAGCTGCGCGGAGAGACAATTGTCGTGGCTCCTCTGGAAAGCGCTGCTTCATTACCTGCGGCAGAGCCAGAAAAGCCCAAGTTTACACCAAAGGGCATCGAGCCGGACGAGACGTCCATTGAGTGGCCTGAAAGAGGCGGATATCTTGGTGAGCGCTCACTCTACAAGCAAATTTTGGTTACCATATCGTATAACATGCGATGAGTGTATCCTAACTTGGAAACCCGCCCTGCACAACACAGTCCTCCGCGTAATGCCCGATGACAACAGCTGCATGTGTAAGTTTCACCACCCTTCACACCCTTCACACCCATTCATAACCCATCTTACAACCGCCCGCCCGCCCCCTCACGCGCGCACTCACTCATTCACTCACTCACTCGCTCACTCACTTTCTCACCTCTGACAACAATAACAGTCACAGCAGTAGGCGGCGCCCTCTCTATCGCCAACCCGTCCGCCGTCCTCCGTCGCCAAGTATCCGACTACATCCTCTCCCACCCCACCGAGTACACCGCCGCGATCCTTGGCTCCCCGCCTTCGGTCTACGCTTCCCGCATGCTGCAGTCAGACGTCTGGGGCGGCGCCATCGAGTTGTCCATCCTCTCGGACATTTACAACATTGAAATTTCATCTATCGACGTTAAGTCCCTCCGAGTTGACCGGTTCGGCGAGGGCAAGAGCCTGAGAATCCTGATTCTCTACTCGGGCATCCACTATGACCGCATCGCCTTTGCCATGGATCTGAGTTATCCCGTCGAGGTGGACGTGACGAAGTGGAGCACGGAGGACGAGGAGGTGTTGGATAAGGCGAGAAAGTTGGCGGAGCAGCTGCAGCGGATGCATTATTATACGGACACGACGGATTTTGTGATCAAGTGTGAGATGGATGGGTGTGGATGGATTGGACAGGGGACGAAGGATGCGGCGAAGCATGAGAGGGAGACGGGGCATGGGAGGTTTGGGGAGATGGAGATTAAGTGAGGATGAGGGAGGAAGGAAGGAAGGAAGAAAGATAGAAGCGAAAATGGACAAGGGACGGGGCAAGAAAGGTGAAGGGGATGATGGGAGGGGGGGCGATGTGAACAACGCGGGAACTCGCCTGGTTAGGCGGTCGGAAGCCGAATGTTGAGTGTCTCCAAGGGGTTCATATATACAATTACACTTGTACCTGCGTCTCGTACATGATGATTGCCGATTGACATTTTCAATTATTGCATGTATGTTCCTGGTGGTATACATGGTACTCCCCAATCCTCCATCTACGCCGCGCCACGCCATGTCCGTTGGTGCACGTCCTGCCGCCCGGTTCGGATCCCGCACCAACGTCACACAGAGTGGAGACCCGAGAATCCGGGGAAACGGCGGGGGTGCCTACGGTCGGTGTGCGCCGCCGGGGGACCCACTATTCGATGCTACGTACTGTGTCGAATCCTTCCATCTCCGGGCGTGAAAATGGTCACAAAGAAAAAAAAAGAATCTCAGACTCTCATATTTTTTATCTCAAGTCGTGTTCAGTCGGTCCAGCGAAGTTTAATTTGTGGAGACCAGGTCAAAGGAACGCAGCTGTTACATACCTTATCAACCGGACCGGACAGGAGGCCGAGCCCAGAATTCGTCACGGGTACCTCGGCATCTCTCCAGCTATCTCTACACTACTAGGGTAGGACCTGTTTGGCCTAACACCAACGGGAGTGCTTACGGCATTCCATATCACCAACTTTACGCTCAAACATCTGGTTGTTGGATTTGGTTCCTGGTGTTGAAGAATCAATACCTACTCCAGTCCGAGACAGCAGACGTGCTCTGACGAGTGACAACCAATCGGATCACCACCGTCCCAGACAGACAGCCAGAGACCAAAGCCCCGAGCGCGGAACTGAAGCTGAAGCGCTGCAGGCCAGGTGTCCGCGCAGTGAGCCCAGTGTTTCAGGACACACGATTGGCTAAACCTCGGCCCTACGGCGGCAGTGGTATGGTACACAGCGCACCATGTCCGCCGACTTCTGGGCCGGATACGTCTCCGGCGCCATAGGCATCGTCATCGGCAACCCGCTTGACATTCTCAAGGTCCGCCTCCAAGCCGGCGGCTCTTCCTCGTCGTCTTCCTCCTCTTCTTCCCTACCCACCCCAATCCCAAACTCAACCCCGTCACCAGCAGCAGCAGCAGCAGCAGCAGCAGCACCACCCACCTCAGGCACACCAGCAACAACCTCGTGGATCCGGCCCTTCCTCAGGGGCACTGCTGCCCCGGTCCTCGGCTACGGCGCCCTCAACGCGCTCTTATTCGTCTCCTACAACAGAACCGAATCAGCCATCAACCACTTTGTTTTCGGAATCGATCCCTCTCTGCCTTTACAAACGGGGGTCAACCTCTGGAGTACCTGGATCGCGGGCGCCGTAGGCGGGTTGGCTACGTGGGTGGTGAGCACGCCTACCGAGTTGATCAAGTGTCGGGTTCAACTTGCAGAGGAGCAGCAGCAGGGGCAAGGATCGAGGGGGACCCAAGGTAGTAGTAGTAGTAGTAGTAGGGGGGGAATAGGAATAGTAGGAACCGAGAAAGGGTCATCATCATGGCAAGTAACCAAACACGTCCTCCGCACCCAAGGAATCAAAGGCCTTTACTTTGGCGGGGCGGTGACGGCGCTGAGGGATAGTATCGGGTACGGTTTCTATTTTTGGAGTTATGAGTTGACTTCGAGATGGATGGTGGCTGCTGCTGCTGCTGCTTCTTCTTCTTCTTCTTCTTCTTCTTCTTCTTCTTCTTCTTCTTCTTCTTCTTCTTCTTCTTCCTCGGGGGAATCTTCCTCCTCCTCCTCTTTCTCTTCTTCTCAGGCCGGAGGTATCTTGACCTCCGAAGCAGCCCGCGTCCTTCTCTGCGGTGGACTGGCGGGAATCATCACCTGGGCGAGCATTTTCCCCCTGGACGTGATCAAGACACGGGTTCAGACTCAGGGGATCCTTCCACTTCCAGCTTCGGGTTCGGGTGTTATCGAAACCCAAGGGGAGCAAACTGCACTCTTGGACAGGACGGCGAGCCGGCGGAAGCAAAGGCCATTGGGAGCTTGGGAAGTCGCCAAGTTGACCTACAGAGAGGGCGGGGTCAAGCCGTTCTTTAGGGGGTTGGCGGTCTGTAGTGTCAGGGCTTTCATCGTCAATGCTGTGCAGTGGGCAATGTATGAGTGGATCATGACGGAACTTGGGCAGGGCAGGAGGGCGAAGGCATCGGGCACCGGTGGTGTCGAAGCGGGAACTTTGGGAAGCGGCGAGCTTGCTGGGATGGGTGCTGCTTGAGATGCAGTGGACTGCAATCTTTGCTAGCAACGACGTACAATACACGCTGCCTTCATTTAGCTGAGAGAAATCAGTGTTAATGCTGTGTAAAGGCCAACTGGATATTCTTTTTTTTTTTTTTCTTTTCCTTTTTTTTTTTTTTATGAAGATACACCTGAGGGTGACCCGTGATCAGTTGCCTCAACACCACGAGCCATCACATCAACAATGGCCCCATTACCTCTGTTAGTGGCCGCCATGGATCAGATGGAAATGTCGATTTCCCTTCAGCCAGGCAGCCGGAACGTTCCTACCAAGCATGTACAGTCAAACAGTAGGCAAAATATCTGAAGGGGATCAAAGATTGTAACGAAAAGAACTCGATTTTACAGGATGATAGATTGATTTAAACCGTTTGCTTGGGGGGCGGCTGCGTTATATTCACCTCTCCGTACCAGCCCGGCACACAATCAACCATTGTTGAGCCTGGAAATGACTTCCTCAGTAGTCCTGAACTCCCTGTGCGTCAGCCATCGTCGTGATCGCTTCCTTCGACTGCACATAGCGTGCATTCGACTATATAGACCAGTGCCTTCTCCTATGTAGGCCGTGCAAGCAAGCATGATGCAGACCTTCAGCAATCAGTCCCGACAGTAGAGCGCCCACACGTCGTTACCATCTTGCACAGGTCGTGTTACTTAATTGTACTTGTTTTTCCTCATTGCAAGTTGCTATCGTATCTCTCCCACTGTGCCCGGAATGAAGAGGACTACAACTCATTTCTGGGAGTTCACGCGAACATAGTTGCGGCAGCTCCTACCCCCCATCTAACAGTCTCGCCGAGCTGACCAAAGTAAACCAGCAAACAGGTCACCTATTTAAACATACACGCACAACTCCGCCAACTCCCTGCAAACTCAAAGCAATGACCCTGGAGCTACAGGCTGGGTATCAGATCCTACCAGCATTATCGACGCGAAGGTAGGAGAAGCGCGCACACCGCGACCTTACATCACAACCTATTTGTAACCCTTATTAGAATCCGTCCAAAAGGAAAGAGGAAAGCAAAAGCCAGGAGAAGTGCACTTACGCAGTCGCTGTCGTTTTTCCCCTGCGGGATGCCCATCTCCTCAAAAGTAGCCGGTCCATTTCCGACAGTCTTGCCATCGGGATGCTCAATGTTGGATTTCCCACCAGCGCCCCCGTGCCCCGGCAGCCTTGTCGTACTGGCTGCACTCGGCGTCGGACTCGCGGAAGGCCCAGGGCTATGGGTAGGTTTACTATGTGGGTGAGGCGGTTGGTGTTGCTGTACTGGCGGTGCGCTTGCTATCCTTCCGATTCCAGCTCCAGATGGACCTTGGCCTCCATTCGAACCCGGTCTGCCTCCCGTAGCTAGACTGTCCAATCTATCTGGCCTTGGCATGGGACCACCGTTCCCGGGAGTCGGAGTGCCGGTCGGGAACCGCCCAGGCATAGGAGGAGCACCCTGCCCATGACCGTAAACATCGCTGTTTGGTCTGCTGCTGTTTGTCCTAGAGCCATAGCCTGGTTGCGCGCCACCACTCATCACGGGCGGAAGGCCTGGACTCTGTTGAGGACTATGCATGGCACCTCCAACCTGCTGAGCCGGAGGATAATTGCCAGCATTCGGATTGGGCTTCTGTAGTCTTTGTCTCATGGGATCGCCAATGGGTGCAGCGGAGGGCGGAATGCCGGGACCAGCACCTCCACTCATCCGCTGTGGCGAGGGTCCGGGACCGACATCATGTGGAGGGCGATAGCTGTTTTGTCTGTAATCAGGTCGAGGGCCGGAGCCAGGGCCGGGGCCAGGTCCGGGACTGGGTTGTCTATACCCAGGTGAGACCTGTGGTTCCCAAGCACCAACTGCCCCGGGAGGAACTCGGCCTCGAGGCCCGGGGCCTTGTGGTGCAGAAGGACCGTTGGCTGAGTTAGGCCGGATCCCGAAAGCGCTCATTGGCCGGTCGGCATGTGGACCACCCGAGCTTGATGACGGGCGGATTCCCGGGTTGAAATGAGGTGCTAGGGGTTTCGCAGACAGATAGTTCTGCTGCATGTGTGGTGGAGGAGACGGGTGACGCATATCGTCTTCCGGATACGGTGCGGTGTTAGTACGCGCTCTGAGCGGCGGAGGCCTAGTGTCCTCGGGATACGGTGCCGTGGACTTGGACCGCAAGGTCAGGTTCAGGTTCAGGTTCGGGTTCGAATCGAAATTGACCGTAAAGGCAGGCGGTCTATTCGCGTTTCGTGCAGGATCCGGAAAGTCAATCTGATCATGGCCGATTGCCGATCCCTGAGACGCTTTGACAGGAACCGGAGGCACGTTGTCGCCGGGATCACCCTCACTCAGGGTAGGCAACACTTCCGGGGCTCTTGAGAACCGCTCAGGGCGCTTGCCGCGCTGCGAGCCGTGCTGAGACTTGATACGCGTAAGTGTGGTTGTTTCGTGGTCCTGCTTCGTCAGCGTCTTGGACTGGCTCAGTGAATCCAATCTGGTCATGGCATCCTTGTTTCCATGCTCCGCCGCCTTTTCGTACCACTTTCGTGCCTCGATGACATTCTTTTGTACATGAATACCTATTTCATGATAGTATCCCATGGCAAACTCGCCTGTCGCTAAGCCGGCGTTGGCTGCATCCAGAGCGTACTTATACGCGAGTGCCTCATTTTTGGAAAAGGCACCCTCGAAGCCGAACAAAAACCACCTGCTAACACCCAACGCAGCTTCGCTTTGTCCCTGGCGTGCAGCAAGGCCGTAGTAGTGAAGGGAGTAGGTTGGATTGAAGTCGCACCCGAGCTGACTGAGTTCATACGCCTGACCCATCTTTAGCTGTGCCTTGGGGAAGCCGAGGTATGCCGCCTTCTCGATATACTGGCGAGCGACGACCAAATCAAACGGGAGAATGTCTTCGGGAATGGTAATGTCGGGAAGCTCTCGGGAAAGAAGCAAGCCGTACACATAAGCGCCCTGCGGAGAGTCCTCATCGGCCGTGTCGGCTGCAAGCTGGATCATGTCGAGGCCCTGCAGAATATCCTTGTGGAAGCCGTGCTGGCCCATGAGGTGTATCATGCCTAATCGGTAGTTGGAGGCGGTATCCTTCATCCTCACGCCGGCCTCGTAGTGCTTGATGGCGTTGGGGATGTCGTTGGAGTTTTCGTAGAGCATGCCCATGCGGTATTCGGCCCTACCGTATCCGTTCTCTGCCGCCCTCTTGTAGTGGGCGTAGGCTTCCCGCTTGTTCTCGCGATATCCAAACTTGCCGAACTCCAGCCATTTTCCCTTCATAAAGTTCGCCTCGGGATGATCTTGGCTTGCCAGGTACTCGATGATGTTGAGAGCGTCGACGCGCAATTCGTGCTCTGTCGTAGGCGTCGATGGCCGTTCCCTTCCCTTCCCGTCACGCTTCCAGTCTCTGGCGGCGGCCTCCTGGGCTATGTCGACCCAAATCAACGAGTCGCGCGCCCATGTCACCTGCATCGAGACATTGTTGGAGTGAAGGACCAGGGTGCGGGCCTGGTAGAGGATCTCTTCCTTCTCCTCGTCGCTCGGAGGGATGTTCTCGCCCTTGACCTTGGGGAAAGGGGAGAACGAGGGAGCGTCCATGGCTGATGACCGGGCGCCGGAGCGTTGTTGGAAAGGCTTGAACCTGTTTGTTGCCCACCAAGGTTGGGCAAGCCGTCAGCAGCAGGTCACCTTGCATTTATAGATTGCGGTATACAGCGCATCGACATGTGCCATACGCGCATAAACGCCCCACCCGAACGGAGGGATCCTGGAACTCCCCCTCTGCTGGAAGCCAGCGTACCGGTATGGATCCCCTCCCCTGGGCAGGTTGGTCGGTGGGATTCAGGGTCGGGTGTAGACTTACGTCTTTTCGTCTTGTCGTTGGTCCCTGTTCTTCGCACTACCGATGGTGCCGTTGTTGTTTTGAGGATCGACTTCACGAGCTTCGAGTTCCATGCGTTGGATGTCCTTTTGCATGTTCTGAGGCACCTCTGGCATTACCCTGTAGAAACATATCGCAACATGTCCGTTAGCCTCTCAGCGCTCGCCGTTCAGCGGCTCAGCCCTCCACTCAGCCCTTTTCCACCTGCTGGCGGAGCCTTGTAGCAGATTCGTCATTTCGCAAGCCATGCAACTCCGGTCCAATATTACTATGTAGATCGGACCCGACGGCGCAAAATGTATGTAGTTGATAATTTGCGGTCAAATTGATGAGGCACTTGTAGGGCGGGCAAGAAAGTGGCTTACCGTTGCGGGGCTGGTGCGACAACTTCGGGCATGAAATAGTCATCATAGCCTCCAGGGACAAACGTTGCGCCGAAGGTAGGCATTTCGGGGGAGTCTTTTTCTGTAAATAGGGCCAGGGGCAACAGTGGTGACAATGGCTCCAATGGCTTGGCCGCGACTGTATAAGTTCCCGAAAACGTAGGTATTCGTCAGCACATCCGCCCACTATGTCCAGAATGTCCGGTCTGACAACTTTAACAGTAAATCCCGTCCAAAAGCATACAGTAGTAGTAGTAGTAGTAGTAGTGTGAGCAGCGGCTCCCCCACTTCCGGTGTCGTGGTAGAAATGTAAGGTATGTAGAGGTATGTAGCCTAGTGGGTTCAAGCTTTGTCGTTCTGACGGCCGCAAAGAGAGAAAGGGAGAGAGAGGGGTTGCGGGGACGTTTGCAGGGGAACTTTAGCAAGTCAGGAGGGGCGCCAAGTTGAAGCTTCGGTGTACTATAGTCTTCCACTACTTGCACAGGTAGACGTGGGATGCTGCGATTGTATTGGTGTCGTCCGGTGTCTTTGATGATGTCGATGGTTGCGATGACTGAAAAAGTTAAAGAAAAGAGAAGCTTGGTATGTCGAGAACGGAGGAGAATGCTTCCTATACGAAAGCAAGCAAGTCTCAAGAAAAAAGGTCTCTTGTCTCGAAGGGAGCGCCCGTGATCTCTCGACAGCTCGGCACAGCCAGGCAGGGCGACCCGCATAATAAAATGGAATAGCACGGAGCAAGGTAAGGTAGGGTACCCATAACTTCAACAAAGCAAGGGTGAAGGTCTCGAAGAGCTTGCTTG